GGTTAAAGAAAATAACATAAGTTGGCCAATCAGTTCCCGTTGCCTGCTTCCAGAGCTAAGCCTCCGTCAGCCAAGGAAATACGGCTCACAACCCAACTAGCTCATCCTCTACCCCTGGAAGCCTCTGCTCTGCCAGGACAAAGGGGCAGCCCATCTGGGGACTTGCTAGATGAACAGCAGCACAGTTGCACCAACAACTAATAAAGCAGCTCCAAAATCAGAGCTCCCAACACTGGGGCCAAATCACGCCAAGGAAAGCATAGACCTTCATTTTCTATCCTCCACCAGTATCTATTCACTGAGCATTTTCTACTCACATGTGCTCCAAAGGTATAAAGAAGAAAATAAAAACCAATTTCTGTCTCACCCGGCAGATATAACCACTGTTAACATGTTGGTACACATCCTTTCTGAGTTTTCTCTAGGCATATAGTTACATCTTTGTTATCTTTGGGATATTACAATGATTTGCTCAGCATGATCTTTCGGAACCTTCTCTTGCCTTTAGATTTTATATTTATACAATGGGATTAATGACAGAAAGGATTAAGAAAGAACACAGTAGTAAGTGCCTGCCACATGGTAAGCACTCAGTAAATATTCAATAGGACTGTTTGTACTTGTATTTTGATTGAGGCTTACTGATGTTCTCCAAGAACTCTTAGAAAATAAATAGCAAAAAGTGAAATAAGCCACAGAGAAAGTATCACTTATATGTGGAATACAAGAAAAAAAAAGGATAGAACAGTGGTTGCCAGGGGCTGGGGGAGGGGGGCAATGAGAAGAGGTTGATAAAAGGGTACAAATTTTCAGTTATAAGTTGAATAAGAGGGACCAGCTGAGTGGCTGTCCGTTAACAGCTTGCTCAAGAGTGCGAGCTCTGAGCAACAGAGTCGCCGGTTCGATTCCCACATGGGCCAGTGAGCTGCGCCTGAGCTGAGCTGCCAACAGGTGGCAGGACGGCTCAGCTGGTGAGAGCACGTGCTCCTAACAACAAGGTTGCCTGTTCAAGATGGTGCTATGCCACCCGCAACTAAATACTGAACTCAGCACCTTGAGCTGAGCCGCCGCCCGGGTGGCTCAGGGGATAGCGAACGTGCTCTTAACAACAAGGCTGCTGGTTCAACTCCCGCATGGGATGGTGGATATGCCCACCTGCAACTAATTGAACACAGTATCTTGAGCTGAGCGGCACAACTGGACTTGGAGCTGAGCTAGCTGCACCCTCCACAACTAAGATTGAAGGGCAACAACTTGGCTGTTCCCCACCCCCAATTCCCCAATAAAATCTTTTAAAAAAACAAAAGATGACTAAGGTCTGAGGATCTAATGAATAGCACGGTGACTATGGTTGATAATACTGTATTACATAATTGAAATTTGCTAAGAGTAGATCTTAAACATTCTCACCCAAAAAAAGAAGAAAATATGTGAGGTGTTAATTAACCCAATTGTGTGAATCCTTTCACAATATATGTGTATATCAAATCATCACACTGTATACTTTAAATAAATTACAATTTCATTTGTCAATTATACCTCAAGAAAGTTGAAAAATAGGAAATAGAATATATAGAAAATGGGACCTTCTCTTGACTCCATGTCAGATATGATGAACTGTATGGAGCATTAAGTCCAGAATGCAAAGGTAGGCAGTCATCCCATGGAAAGAAAAGTATTTAGAGAGGCTTCCAGGAGACAGAGCTTACCCAGGACCCTCAATGACAGACAGGATTTTGGGGTGCGGAAGAGGAAAGGCCTCTGGATCAAGGAACACTATGAACAAAGTAGAAATGGGACAGACCACAGAGATGGTGTGAGGCTGCCCACCTATGCATCCTTTCACCAAGAGACCAAGCTTTCGTCTCTTGACCAAGAGACTTTGCCAGCTGCAGAATAAGCTCACACCAGCTTGTCCACGCAGACCTTGTTTGACAGACTCTTTTGAGAAAGAACATCTGAGCTCCACATCCTTGGGGACCCTGAGACCCAAGACTTGTCCCCAGGTGCTCACCACTCAGGCTGCAGAGAGGAGAGGGTACTGGAATAGGAGCTCCGGCTGCTCAGAGGAGGAAAGGATGCAGTGAAAGGTCCCAGAGCCTCTAAACAGGTAGCAGATGCACTTGGCCATGCTGAGGACACACCCCAGATACCCAAGGACTGCTTACAGATGAAACTAAAAATAGGCAAAGAACAAGTGCACTCTGGTTCCCTAGATTATCAATTGTAACTTAAGTAAACTTCCTGCTGCATCTGATTATCAGGCTGCACAATAGTAACTGTGTACGTGACTCAATCTGATCATTAGTTTTAAGTGATAATAACTGCACACTCTTGGGAGGGTGTAGTCTTGCTCAAGCAACAAGCCTTTTACTTCTCTTAAAAATACAAAAGGGAAGGGAAAGCAGCTTCCATATGTGCCACCTTGGCATTTTCTTTTTCTCAGCAGCACTTTATTTGTGCCCTTGTCACTTCAGGCACACCCTCTGCCCACCCTCTTCAACCTCAGTCCTGCCTGAGAGCCCTTAACTCCATCCTTCCAGCTCACAGGGGGCCCAACTATGGCTCCAGGGGCAGGGCAACAGCTGTTTCACTGCTGTAGCTCTAAGGCCCAGAAAATAATCGGTTCTCAACAAACACCTGTTGAGTAAAAAATCCAAAGGAAAGAAGGCAGGCAGGCCATAGTCTCATGCATACTGACAACAATATGCATTTTTGTTTTGGGGGGCTTTCTGCAGAATTTGATGGTTTTAGTAACACAAATAGAATGTGCACACAAGCTGTCTATATCATTTTCTTGGCTGCGCAGCCTGGCACTGGGACTGGTGACTCTGATGGCCAGCTGGGCTGCTCTTTGCACAATCGCTTTACGGTTCTTTGAGGAGACGTTGTGACAATCTCAGCACAGTAAGATTTTTCCCATCAGCAGCACTTCAAGCTCCTTGATGCTGTGGACCAGGAACTTCCAAAAGCCACTGGCAGCATGTGCCTTGTTTTCTTGGTGCTCCCATCACCAATGCTGGGCATTGTGATCTGGCCCCTAAATCTTCTTCGCACCTTATTGTCACTGTCTCCGGGTTTCTGCCAGCTACGCTTAATTTTGACATATCAGTCTGACTGGTGCCGGATTAACTTCTTGGTCCTCTTTCTGACAATGTTGGGCTTCACGAGGGGTCTGAGGGCGGCTATGATACCAAGTAGGAGATGGCTGCCACCTCTGTAGGC